CCCTAACATACACACTATAGTGGCTTGTATGGTGTGAGGATCAGTGGCGGCTCCTGAAAAAATTCTCAGGAGGGGCAATTTTTCTGATGATTTAGGTGACCTACACACATTTTAAAAAAGATATGTCCAGCAACAACATGAAGACAGGGGCAGCATATAAGTCAATACCAGAAGCATTTATTGACTGATCTAGGGAGATGGATTCCAGTTTCTGTGACAGATTATAAATAATCTCTGATGCCTTTGTTATATTAGCTTTTGGTTGAATGTACTGTCGTAGTAAATATATAATGTTATAGCTTGGTCTGACTAAAATCTTGTGCATGACCCATTTTGTGTTGGGCGTTTGTTTTCAATCAATGCTGTTCCTATCCTATAACAATGGACAAAAGAGTCCTATCTTGTCAGCCTTGTCAGCAGGTGGCCAAGGACAACACCCACGCCATAGGTCTCTCAGTTCTTCCAACTCACGAGTTCTTGCTCTGAGGACACACACACACACACACACACACACACACACACACACACACACACACACACATCATCACTGATAACACACACACACACACACATCATCACTGTTAAACACACACACACACACACACAAAAATCCCCTCTCTTTAGGCTGAACATTTGAAGACAGAGAACCCGACTCAGAGCCAATGCAACAGTGGAGGGGACCTCGCCCAACTCATCAGGACCAATCAGAAGATCAGAACTACTAGATTCAACCTACATCATTTATTGTATAAAATGTCTGCACACAATGTTTTCGGGGCTCTCTTCTTCCTAAGAGTTTGACGAACGAGTCCGTGCACGCGATTCCAGATATCTTTACCTCTGAATAAACTGCCTTTATTATACCATATCCACCCTGTCCAAAGTCTCTACTTGGTCTCAGTTCTCCAGTAAACTTGTGATTATCAACAGTACACAACGGTAACAAACAATTGGGGGAACTCACGGGGCAGATAGTAAGGTCGCAATGACACAGAAAGCAGTTCAATGTCGGGGTACAGAGTCGCTCTCTTACCAGGATCGCGGTCCGCTCTGACCAGGGTGAAGCCGGCCGGCTCCACTTCTCTGTCCGGGACTCTGTCATCCAGCCAAGTCTCCCAGCTGTATTGGATTCCGCTGCCAGCAGCGTTTTCATTATTTAGTCCGTTCGTAGCGGGTATGTACATGATCAACAAGATCAGTCCAAAATCCACCACTGGAAATCCATGGTTGGCAGAATGTTTGTAAACTAAGTCTACAAATTAAAAACATAAAATAACGCCACACTGCAGGTCGCAACAGAGACGCTGCTAGCCGCTATTGTCTTAGTTACGTTCATGGTTACGTCACGTATGACGAAAGCGCGTAAGTGCAAGCCCACAGACACCCATAGAGAATGTATTGAAAGCTTTGAAATTTGAAAAAAATAGATTTTACATGACAGGCTATGAGAGACTTCTGGGCGATTTTCAACCTGACTGAAATCGCCCCAAAAACGGGCGGGGCCATTTGAAGCACGACTTTAGCCTGATTTGACATTTAGTGGCTGGCAGATCAGACGTGAACACTGATAACTACTGTTGCCGTGATATAATTGATTAGAAAAAAAATCCCTTCCTTTTCCCGTTTGGCAGTGCGTCGCCCATATCGCCCTATTGAACAGGCCGTCCCTGGTGAGGATAGGACAGGAGCTAAGATACTCTGTACTCAGAGTTCAAACCTACCCTGTGATTGACAGCTGGCCTACCCACCACCATCCTGTGTTTTATTTCAGAGGAGAAGGAAGGGTGTGTCCTGCAGCCTCACTCTGACAGTGTCAGACACACTGGTGTCCATTTCACTGTCACTCAGTGTCAAGACAAACACCTGCAGATAGACTGTTACTGTAGAGAAGCCTTTCTGCTTGCAGCCTGCAGAGCCTGGAATGGATAGGCACTTTAGGTCGACAAAATTATATTACTAGGAGCTGTCTCAGCCAGTCTGTTACCTGTTTGAAAAACATAAACAAGGAAAAATATCCCTCCATTGGAACTGCAACAGTTGGAGCCTCTTAACATGCAAAAAAACATGCCTCTGCTTAAATTTGTTTAGTGCACGTGTGATGAAGGAGGAAATTACATTTAAAAGGCACAGATGCAATTGAAAATGACTTGTGAGCTGGCCCAAAAGCAGAGCTCTATTTCACGTCTCCACATGGTTAAAATTTTCTAATTCAGTTTGATAATGGCCGTTGGTGAATTCATTACGCTTGTTTGCTATATGAAGGATGACAAGGTGCTGTCTGCAGGAGCCTTGAACTCAGTCACACAGCTCCTCCTTTCACTGTATGTCCCTCACTCTGTCAGCACTGCAATGGTACTGCTTATCTCTTCATAAATTAAAAAACTAAGAAATGCAATGTTACAAGACACACATAGCCAAACATGACTCCAACACCATCATTACGTTTGCTGACGATACAACAGTGGTAGGCATGATCACCGACAACGATGAGACAGCCTATAGGGAGGAGGTCAGAGACATGGCAGTGTGGTGCCAGGACAACAACCTCTCCCTCAATGTGAGCAAGACAAAGGAGCTGATCGTGGACTACAGGAAAAGGCGGGCTGAACAGGCCCCCATTAACATCGACGGGGCAGTAGTGGAGCGGGTCGTGAGTTCCTTGGTGTCCATATCACCAACAAACTATCATGGCCCAAACACACCAAGACAGTTGTGAAGAGGGCACGACAACACCGTTTCCCCCTCAGGAGACTAAAAAGATTTGGCATTGGTCCCCAGATCCCCCAAAAGTTCTACAGCTGCACCATTGAGAGCATCCTGACCGGTTGCATCACCGCCTGGTATGCCAACTGCTCGGCATCTGACCGTAAGGCGCTACAGAGGGTAGTGCGTACGGCCCAGTACATCACTGGGGCCAAGCTTCCTGCCATCCAGGACCTATATACTAGGCGGTGTCAGAGGAAAGCCCAAAAAATGGTCTAAGGCTCCAGTCACCCAAGTCATAGACTGTTCTCTCTGCTACTGCACGGCAAGCGGTACCGGAGCGCCAAGTCTAAGACCAAAAGGCTCCTTAACAGCTTCTACCCCCAAGCCATAAGACTGCTGAACAATTAATCAAATGGCCACCCGGACTAGTTACATTGACCCCCCCACATTTGTTTTTACACTGCTGCTACTCGCTGTCTATTATCCATGTATAGTCACTTTACCACTACCTACATGTACAAATTACCTCGACTAACCTGTACCCCCGCACATTGACTCGGTACCGGTACCACCTGTATATAGCCTCGTTATTGTTATTTTATTGTGTTACTTTTTATTATCTTTTACTTTAGTTCATTTGGTAAATATTTTCTTAACTCTTTCTTCAACTGCATTGTTGGTTAAGGGCTTGTAAGTAAGCATTTCACGGTAAGGTCTACACCTGTTGTATTCGGCGCATGTGACAAAAATTGTTTGATTTGATTTGATTTGACATCAGCAGCCAGCTTTCCCTGAAGATTGACTGCTGGAAATGCAAAGCCTGGAAGGAGGGGTGGATACTATAAAACTGTCATCTATTATTTCACACTGTCTTTGGATGGATTGGCCATACTACAGCTGTGATAAAGAAGAGGCCATGACCATGCTGTCAAAATGAGGGGAGATTCTCGGGTCACAGAGAATAGATGAGGTTCATGTTTAGACTGATCATATAATGATTGGAAACCATTCCTTTTAGGTTAAAATACTGGAAATTGTATTAAATGTTTCAGCTGCTTGTAGCATCTATCTAATGCGCAGGTTGACGTTTATTGGGATGAATCTTGTCCTGGAGGCCGAGTAGAGCGATTTCCACTAGATTGGCCAGCGGCAAAGTCAAAATCGTCTATATCGTAAAAAACATATTTTGGGTCTTAATTTAAGGTTAGGGATAGGTATAAGGTTAGCAGTGTGGTTAAGGTTAGGTTTAAAATCAGATTTGATGACTTTGTGGCTGTGCCAGCTAGTGTCTACCATGCAGAGCTGCCTCCAGTACAACACATCCTTGTCTGCAGGTTGGTGTAGGAAAAAAAGTGGAAAAGGAGAAGCCATTTTAGGTCTGCTTTGAATCCTGGCTGAATGCTAATGATTGTTGAAATGTGATAAGAGTGGAGTGGAGGAGTGGAGGAGGAGATGTGGAGAGGAGGGCCCAAACAGATGGAACTCACAGGAGGAATGTTTTTCTGTAACACAAGCCCCTGTGTCCCTCCCAGACAAGCCTGTGAACACAACCGCTCCCTCCCACACTTAAATCCCTCACCTCACACACACATGAACACACCACACAGAAGTACACACACACACATAAACTCACACACCCTTCTCCCGCTCTGATAGCTTCCAATAAAGTGAGTGGAAATGGGTGGGGGAGGTGAAGATGGGTGGCGTTGCTGGAGAGCCTTGCTCAAGGGGAAAAGACACTCTTTAGATAGGCCATCTCCGTTGAAGCGTCACTCACCTTACACACGCGAGCGATACGCGACACAATGGTGTTGTCAAAGAAATCAAACTCCTTTCCTGCTTCGCTGAAGAAGAAGTAAATCTTATCATCGTCGCCCACTGGGTTGCCTCTGGGCAGGCTCTCCTGGATGTAGGCAGAGCCCACAAAGGCTGGGTCTGGAGGAACAACAAAGAAACCACAGGGTGAAATGTCAACCTAGAACCATGTATTCTAGGACATGGACATGCCTTTTACATCCACAACGTCTTCTGGTGATTTCGTAATTTTGTAACAGGAATTCTGATAACTTCTGCATGTTGAAATTGACAAAATACCATGGGACACCTATATTTCTTCAGAGCTCAGGTCATTTCATTTATCATGTCCAGCCTTAGGTCTTCAAATACTGATTGCATATGTTTAGGGGAAAACTGTTTACGCATGTATGTTTATCTTATCAGCTATGTATACAAACAGTAGAACATGGCATGAAGCAGCTACAAGATAGCTAGCTACCTGAAGACCTGAACTTACCTTGAAGCCAGTTCAAGGAGTTTTCTGTTTTTAGGGCAGTGCCTTGTGCCTGGCTCTTGTAAATAATAGGTTCATTTCCTTGGAAATTACTGACTGTCCCAGCATACAGCTCTCCATCTATAATGTAAGGAATAATAAAATGAAGACAAACAATATCTGGACCAAGAGACAAGGAGCCTCTGTGTCACTCATAACATACCCTGGAATCTAGAATGAAAGGGTTGTCTCCTAATATGTTTACAGTATGGAACACACAATAATTAACTTTTGTAAGATATACATTCCAGCTATATAAACGTTGTTAACATTGATATATCTGTAATTAAGTATGTCCACAGTGTGTTGTCTATTATGTTTATGTATATATTGTATTGTATACAGTATGTATTGTGTACAGTATGTATTGTATACAGTATGTATTGTGTACAGTATTTATTGTATACAGTGTGTATTGTATACAGTATGTATTGTGTACAGTATGTATTGTATACAGTCTGTATTGTGTACAGTATGTATTGTATACAGTATGTATTGTGTACACAGTCTTATGGAAGCCAAACATATTTCCCTGACAGTAAATAACATTTACATTTACATTTTAGTCATTTAGCAGACGCTCTTATCCAGAGCGACTTACAGTTAGTAAGTGACCCTTATAGTGAACCTACCAGCCATGATGGCGGTGGACTTGTACTCAGGGTTGAAAGGGCAGCGGTTGCGTCCGTCCTCTGTCACTATCTCCCCAGTCTGGCTCCTCACCAGAGTGAAGTCAGCTGTGTTCTGGAGAGGACAGACAGAGAGAGATAGAGAGAGAGAGAGAGAGAGAGAAAGAGAGAGAGAGAGAAAGAGAGAGATAGAGCGATACAGAGAGAGAGAGAGAGAGAGAGAGAGAGAGAGAGAGAGAGAGAGAGAGAGAGAGAGAGAGAGAGACTTGAGGAAAAGTAGGGCTGTAATCTACACTGACACTGATCACTGCCTGCTGGCCAGTGTTCTCTACTGCACTGTGGCCCAAATGATGGGGAGGGACACACTGGTTGGTCGCAGCTGGTCCCTTTGGGGTGGTTCAAACCAGGGTTGTTTCGAAAAGTGGTTTTGTCAAATTGTGTGGTCACAATGCAAAAAAAGCTTGTTACTACCCACTGCTATAGAGACACACTTGATAAACAGTATCTCTATTTAAGTAAATGTTATTATATGATTCCATTTAGAAGTGATCTGGTGATGGGGAAGATGAGGAGGGCTGCTTAGAGAAGGGATGGACATGACTGTCTGTATAAAATACTGTATATCTCTCTGTGTGGGCTGAGACTCAGTGGTTTTGATAAGAGAGACAGAAGGGAGACTTGGGAGGAGACGCTCAGGAATCCTGGTTCACAACCTAAAGTTCTGCCAAGAGACTTTCCCTCCTCCCTTAATGTTTTCTTTCCCATATTGAATTATTGCAGAGGGGATTTGAGATGTTCTTTGACTGTCAATATTTCTAAATGGAAATGTCAATGTTATTCTGTATTGCCTCAGAGATTTGTCTGCTCCATCAGCTGAACACATTTAAAGATGCACTTCCTCTCAAATGTGTGCTCCGAAAAGTCTTAATACAACTCAGAGCCACTCATGCTCACTAAACATCTGTAAAGGGTATAATTGCAATACACTGATTTGAGGAGAAATAAAGTGCAGTCTCCAGGGAGGAAATACTGTAACATAGAGAAGAAAAGCTGTACCTTGATTGACAGAGTGAATTACATGACTAATTACATCTCTCTACTGCACACAGGCATGGTGGTTCTCTCTACAGCACACAGGCATGTTGGTTCTCTCTATAGCACACAGGCATGGTGGTTCTCTCTACAGCACACAGGCATGTTGGTTCTCTCTATAGCACACAGGCATGGTGGTTCTCTCTACAGCACACAGGCATGGTGGTTCTCTCTACAGCACACCGGCATGTTGGTTCTCTCTACAGCACACAGGCATGGTGGTTCTCTCTACAGCACACAGGCATGGTGGTTCTCTCTACAGCACACCGGCATGTTGGTTCTCTCTACAGCACACAGGCATGGTGGTTCTCTCTACAGCACACACAGGCATGGTGGTTCTCTTTACAGCACACACAGGCATAGTGGAACTGTATGCTGTATGCTAAGATATCAAACACATACTTACTATGTATGCACAGGTTGGACTGAAGGCGTAGGTTCCACACACGTATAGATGGGTACTGTTAACACGCAGTAAAATCTTGATGTAATTGAAGCAATCAGTCTGCATTAAAGACACAGGAGAGGAGAGAACATCGTTAATATGACTCATAGGTCCCCACAAACCATTCTGGAGGGAAAGTTCCTCAAGTTGAGTGGAGTAGCTCATTGGACGATCCTCCAAGCATATTTCCACATTACCAGAATGAATTGCTTTCAAATAGCCTGGGAGGCCTGTTGCCAGCAGTGTCCCAAACGTCTGAGTGACTGTCTCACACAGAAAACTGATTAGTGTCTTCATCAAGATCCTGGTCTATGAGCCTTTGTCCCCCAACCAATCAATCAAACCATAAATGAATCATACAATATTGCCATCTGATAATATACTGTACTTCTCACAGTATTGAGGTTTCACTACAATCACAGAGGGGTTGGTTTGATGGGATGCATAGCAATTTGTCTGGCTAAAAAAAAATAACTCAGGCCATCACTGCTGAATGGAAATGTACACCTTAAATGGAAACTTCCATTGCTACTGACAGTTCATTTTCAGTACTACGGCAAAAAACGAGCTTGAGAACTGGCATGGAAGTGTAAACATTGTCACTGGAGTTCCACACATACAGCACAATGTACTCACCTGTAGGTCTTTGCCTTTGAAACTGCACTCATCTCTCTTCCTCTCATGGGTGCTCCATGTAAGCTAGAGGAGAGGAGAGGTGTCAAGATACATTACAGACACAGCACAGAGCTGTAAAGAACACAGCTGTAGTCCTCTGTAGCTCACTTGGTAAAGCATGGTGCTTGCAACGTCAGGATAGTGGGCTTGATTCCCGGGACCAAGTGGGTAATCTGCCTCTACCATCAGTCCTATTAGCCAATGTACAATCATTGGATAATAAAATGGATGAGCTCCGATCAAGAATATCCTACCAGTGGGACATTAAAAACTGTAATATCTTATGTTTCACAGAGTCGTGGCTGAACGACGACATGGATAACATACAGCTGGCGGGGTTTTCGGTGCATCGGCAAGATAGAACAGCTGCCTCCGGTAAGACAAGGGGTGGCGGTCTGTGTATATTTGTAAATAACAGCTGGTGCACGAAATCTAATATTAAGGAAGACTCAAGGTTTTGCTCGCCTGAGGTAGAGTATCTCATGATAAGCTGTAGACCACACTATTTACCAATATTTTTTGTATCTATATTTTTACCACCACAAACTGATGCTGGCACTAAGACCACACTCAACGAGCTGTATAAGGCCATAAGAAATAAAGAAAATGCTCATCCAGAGGCGACTGTAATGCATGGAAACTTAAATCCATTTTACCTAATTTCTACCAGCATGTTAAATGTGCAACCAGAGGGAAAAAAAACTCTAGACCCCATTTACTCCACACACAGAGACGCGTACAAAGCTCTCCCTCGCCCTCTATTTGGCAAATCTGACCATAATTATATCCTTCTGATTCCTGCTTACAAGAAAAAACTAAAGCAGGAAGCACCAGTGACTCGCTCAATACAGAAGTGGTCAGATGACGCAGATGCTAAGCTACAGGACTTTTTTGCTAGCATAGACTGGAATATGTTCCGGGATTCTTCCGATGGTATTGAGGAGTACACCACATCAGTCACTGGCTTCATCAACAAGTGCATCGATGACGTTGTCCCTACAGTGACCGTATGTACATACCCCAACCAGAAGCCATGGATTACAGGCAACATCCGCACTGAGCTAAAGGGTAGAGCTGGCGCTTTCAAGGAGCGGGACCCGAACGCTTATAAGAAATCCCGCTATGCCCTGTGACGAACCATCAAACAGACAAAGCGTCAATACGGGACTAATATTAAATCGTACTACACAGGCTCCGACGCTCGTCGGATGTGGCAGGGCTTGCAAACTATTACAGACTACAAAGGGAAGCACAGCTGCGAGCTGCCCAGTGACACAAGCCTACCAGACGAGCTAAATTACTTCTATACTCGCTTCGAGGCAAGCAACACTGAAGCATGCATGAGAGCATCAGCTGTTCCAGACGACTGTGTGATCACGCACTCTGTAGCCGATGTGAGTAAGACCTTTAAACAGGTCAACATTCACAAGGCCGCAGGGCCAGACAGATTACCAGGACATGTACTCCGAGCATGCGCTGACCAACTGGCAAGTGTCTTCACTGACATTTTCAACCTGTCCCTGACTGAGTCTGTAATACCAACATGTTTCAAGCAGACCACCCTAGTCCCTGTGCCCAAGAACACTAAGGTAACCTGCCTAAATGACTACCGACCCGTAGCACTCACGTCTGTAGCCATGAAGTGCTTTGAAAGGCTGGTCATGGCTCACATCAACACCATTATCCCAGAAACCCTAGACCCACTCCAATTTGCATACCGCCCCAACAGATCCACAGATGAAGCAATCTCTATTGCACTCCACACTTGGACAAAAGGAACACCTATGTGAGAATGCTATTCATTGACTACAGGTCAGCATTCAACAACATAGTGTCCACAAAGCTCATCACTAAGCTAAGGACCCTGGGACTAAACACCTCCCTCTGCAACTGGATCCTGGACTTCCTGACGGGCCGCCCCCAGGTGGTAAGGGTAGATAAATCGCTCTGGATAAGAGCGTCTGCTAAATGACTAAAATGTAAATGTAACAACACATCTGCCACGCTGATCCTCAACACGGGGGCCCCTCAGGGGTGCATGCTCAGTCCCCTCCTGTACTCCCTGTTCACCCATGACTGCATGGCCAAGCACGACTCCAACACCATCATTAAGTTTGCTGATGACACAACAGTGGTAGGCCTGATCACCGACAACGATGAGACAGCCTATAGGGAGGAGGTCAGAGACCTGGCCGTGTGGTGCCAGGATAACAACCTCTCCCTCAACGTGACCAAGACAAAGGAGATGATTGTGGACTACAGCAAAAGGAGGACCGAGCACGCCCTCATTCTCATCGATGGGGCTGTAGTGGAGCAGGTTGAGAGCTTCAAGTTCCTTGGTGTCCACATCACCAAGAAACTATCATGGTCCAAACACACCAAGACAGTCGTGAAGAGGGCACGACAACGCCTATTCCCCCTCAGGAGACTGAAAAGGTTTGGCATGGGTCCTCAGATCCTCAAAAAGTTCTACAGCTGCACCATTGAGCGCATCCTGACTGGTTGCATCACCGCCTGGTATGGCAACTGCTTGGCCTCCGACCGCAAGGCACTACAGAGGGTAGTGCGTACGGCCCAGTACATAACTGGGGCCAAGCTTCCTGCCATCCAGGACCTCTATACCAGGCAGTGTCAGAGGAAGGCCCTAAAAATTGCCAAAGACTCCAGCCACCCTAGTCATGGACTGTTCTCTCTGCTACCGCACGGCAAGCGGTACCGGAGCGCCAAGTCTAGGTCCAAAAGGCTTCTTAACAGCTTCTACCCCCAAGCCATAAGACTCCTTCAAATGGCTACCCGGAGTATTTGCATTGTCCCCCCCCCACCCTTTTTACGCTGCTGCTACTCTCTGTTTATTATCTATGCATAGTCACTTTACCTCTAGCCACATTTACATATTACCTCAATTACCTCAACTAACCTGTGCCCCCGCACATTGACTCTGTACCGGTACCCCCTGTATATAGCCTCGCAACTGTTTATTTTACTGCTGCTCTTTAATTATTTATTTATTTTTATCTTTTTTTTTTACTTATCACTTATTTTTCTTAAAACTGCATTGTTGGTTAAGGGCTTGTAAGTAGGCATTTCACTGTAAGGTCTACACCTGTTGTATTCGGGGCATGTGACAAATACACTTTGATTTGATTTGATTTGACCATACGTAAAATGTGCGCACGCATGACTGTAAGCTGCTTTGGATAAAAGCATCTGCTAAATGGCATTATATATATATATATATATATATATATATATATATATATATATATATATATTCATATATATTACTATAGAGCATTGTCAAAAAGAGCAGTGTACACAAGATGTCATACACCAACCATGTACATTATATAATTCCACACATCCTCACCCTTAGGTTACTGTTCATGCACACACACACACGCACGCACAAGCACACACACACACACAGTACAGTACAACACAACACTGTTGTGAAGTGTATCTGAGAGCAGAGGGTATTACATACCACCTCTAGAAAAACAACAAATATGTTTCAATAGTTCAGCTAGGGCTGCTGGGCTGTTGTGTCTACTTTGATTTGCACAATGTTTAGACTTACTGTGGTGAGCTGAGGTGGTGGCTGAGCGGAAGGTCAAGTCCTAAACCACCTCCGCTATATGAGATAATTATTTAGAGGTGCCATTCATATGCCATGTTGATACTCATTTCATTATGCATGTTGATTATTCGTTTTGAAGCAACTCCCAGATTAAACTTTTTTTTTTCTCACAGAAATCGTATCAATTAGGACTATGTCTAATATCCATTATTTATGAAAAATAGGCTACCTCTTATCTCTTAAAACACACAGACACACACTCGTGCCCACTTACATTACGTTGTAGCTTGACTCTGCTGATATCCGAGAGGTTGAGGGCGAAAAGCTGCTCTCGTGCTCCAACATAGAGCATGTTATCTTCCCTACTGAGGAGCAGAGAGGTATAATTGAAGACCCCTTCCACAGAGAATCTCTTGGCTGACCTCTCATTTGCATCTGAGGAGAGAGAAAAACAGAAAGTGGAGAATAAATATTAACAAACTGAACGTTCTACTGCAATATGAGCCCCTAGAAAGCATTAACAGATTTGCCTGGACAAGAATTTAACGTCAAAATGGTAATAATGTCGGTGTTATTTTGTTTATGCATACATGTGTATCTACATGCATGTACCTGTATTTGTGTGTGGTCACATATCTTAATGTGCAGGATGAAGAAAGATGTTGTGTCTTAATCATTGTGGCTGCTCTCTGCTCCCATGACAACAACACTGTCTGGCCTAGCAGGCTGTCTATCTCTGCTGACTCCATCGCTACAGGGGAGCTACAATAGGAGAGATGGACAGAGCCTGGGCTCCTGAGCTCATAATGATGAATAAAACCGATCCAACCACAGGATGTATGGACTAAAAGCAGCAGCTGGAGGAGTGTGTGTTTGTTCAGCCTCCAGTCCTGTCCCCTCTCTCATCACCTCT